CATGAGGATACGCAAAACCGAGCCCAAATCTGCCTTGAAATGAATGGGGTACAATTTGAGCCGCATGTCATAAGGACACGGGGGATTTAAATCGGTAAGCTGTTTAATACCTATTTTTTTAATAATTTAGTTTTGAACTGATGTGAATATTATACGTAACTGAATTTATCAAAATAATCAACAATGGTGTGTAGTGTAGGTAACACGATGTATAAAAAAGCATGACTGTCCTTATTTAAATTTCATTTAAGTAAATTTTTCATTAGTGGGGAATCGAACCAGGTATTTGATTTATTTAACCTGTGAATTCGAATTAAATTTAGATAAGTGTTATAAATTATTAGATACTAGTACGATGTAGGCTGCGTGTCGGCGTTCGGCGTCGCGCGTTTATTGGTCTTTTATCAGCTGATTTCATGATTTTTTATGAAATTATCGTCTCATTTTGCTGTACTATCTTGATAGAGCGTAAATAAAGCTAACTAAACGTTAAAAAAATGGTTAGTTTTGCATCGGGATTGATTTTATTTGAGTCTCACCATCAAATGTATCCTTAATACTATCATCTGTCTTCGTTTTCGGGAGCGTTACAAAAATACCATGTATATTGTATAATAGCTATTGTATCATCTCTATAAATTGTCCATTCCTGTCCACGTTCATTTCAAAATTTTCTAGCGATGCTTTTGTGTGTAGCCTGTGAAAACCAATAACGATATATTTAGACACGGCGGTCAAAAGTATTTAAGTCAATTTTTGCACTAAATTCTAAAAAGTCACAGCAATCGTGTTTTTGTATCATCTGTCGACTGGAAGAAGCATTTAAGTTTCCGACGCTTAATTTAGACGCAAAAGCTGTGACAAAAAGCACTTAAATTGACTTAAGGATTTTATTTATTTACTTATTTATAAAAGCTTTTAATTAATACTATATGGTATATAATATAATTTACAAAGTAAGCCTATTAAAAGTTTTCACAGATGAGTAATCGGTTTGGGTAAATACATGTAACATATATAAGTGGATAAAATTTGTACGTTGATGTTGATTAGATTTAAGAGTTCAAGAGTAAATTGCTACTGAATTCAGATGTTATCAATTTGCAGATAGTAGTACCACTAGTAGAAAAGAGGTCAGCCTTATCACAGTCCTTAGAAAATTTATTAAATGAGTTACATGCTCTTAAGAAGAATGAGTTTCGCCTGTAATTTGATAGGGATTGTAATAGCGCAGTGAACGAGAGGAAACTAAGATATGTAATCTTTTTAATAAGTCTGGGCAGTCTAAACGATCTTGAGCAATTTTATTTAGTAAGACCAGGTCGGCTGTATAGCGCCTAGTTTGCAGCGGGAGGAGATGAAGATGAGAACACTGCAATTCGTAGCCTCCTTTGGATATATGAAATTTAGAACCTACATATCGAATGAATTTTTTTTGAATCGCTTCGATTTTGTTAATATATATTTTATATTTTGCACCATGAGGAACAATATAATAGAAATGGCCCCGAGTTCCCGGCGCCCCTTTAATGGGGCAGGGGTGCGAAGAATCTCCGGGAGGAAAACCGGCGACGAGGTTCGCCACCCGTCACGTTCTGTCTCCCGGAGAGGCGAAAAGTGGATTGCAGAGGTCCGTCTGGCTACGTTGAATGTATGTGGGGCAATGAATGATAAAATGGATGAAGTATGCGATATGATGAATGATAGAGGAATAGATGTGTTATGTGTAAATGAGACGAAAAGGAAGGGAAAGGATGTCACTACACATGGCATGTATACCGCATACTGGTCTGGTGTAGACGAGATCGAGCGGGCATGCCAGGGAGTAGGTATCATCCTTTCAGAAAGAATGGGCCAATGTGTGAAAGAGTATGAATGTGTAAGCCCAAGACTGCTGTGGATACGAATGAAAGTGGGCTTAAAGAAGTTGTTTGTGTTAGGGGTCTACGCCCCAGACATGTCTAAGCCCACTTATATCCGAGAGCAGTTTTGGGAAATGGTAAGGATGGTGTTAATGGAGTGTAAGGGAAATGAAAATATTATTATGCTAGGAGATTTTAATGGAAGGGTTGGGGTGAGGAGGCTTGGTTATGAAAGGATATTGGGAACGTTTGGTGATGAAAGTATAAATGAGAATGGTGAAAGTCTCCTCACCGTATGTATGGAAAAGAATCTTTTTGTGACGAACACTTGCTTTCGCCACAAGAGGATTCACATGTATACTTGGGAAAGAGGTGACGATAGAAGCATGATAGATTTAATAATTGTGGATGAAAGATTGAGGGGCGCAGTTGTAGATACAAGGGTTTACCGGGGTTCTAACGTAGGAACGGATCATTATTTGGTTCTATGCCGAATTAATGGTCTATTCAGGCGTTGGCGCCATCGGTCATCTGTGTCTACCACTGCGTTACAGCGTATTAGAACAGAAAGGTTACAAGATGAAGGTGAGAAAAAAGAAGTTCAAATGTAGACTGAAAGAAAATATAAGTGGTTTGGATGAATTATGTATGAAGGAGTTAGACTTGGAGAATGTATGGCAAAATGTAAAGAAAGGTTTAGTGGATGCAGCTACCGAAGTATGTGGTGTTAGTAAGAGAAAGAATGAAAGGAAAAATAATACGTTATGGTGGGATGATGAGGTACGTATGGAAGTTGAAGCAAAGAAGAGAGCATGGCTAGATTTACTAGCAACAAAGGCTGGTAATTCTAGCGGTACGAATGATGATATTGAAAGAAAAAAGGCAGTCTTTAGACATCTTAATAAGAGAGTAAAAGAAGTAGTTGAAAGAAAAAAGCAAGAAAGAACGGATAAGAATGATAGAAGAATATCGGATAATTTCCAGGCAAATATTAAAATGTTCTGGAAACTTGTAAGAACTGCCAGGGGACATTCAAAACAGCCTATGATGAATGCTATAAGAGACGAGAATGGCTATATTCTGAATGATGAAGTTTTGAGTTTAAAGAGATGGAAGGAATATTTTGAAAGCGTGTTTATGAGTGAGGAGACAACGTGTGTACTAAGTGAAGTAGAAATTCCGAAAGAAGAGGAAAGAGGTAGCGAGATTAGTGTAGGTGAAATAATGAAAGCAATGAAAAGCATGAAAGCAGGTAAGGCTGCCGGATATGATAGAGTTTCACTCGAAATGCTAGGGGCTGGAGAGGAAGTGGTGGCAGGCCTGCTGCACACCTTGCTTAATTTATGCTGGGAACTGAAGCGGGTACCGGTAGACTGGTGCAAAGCCGTGATAGTCCCAGTATATAAGGGAAAAGGGTCGCAGCAGGACTGTAAAAACTACCGTGGCATCAGCCTTCTTAGCATTGTGGGAAAACTGTATGCTAAGGTACTGATTGAAAGGGTCATGAAAGAAACTGATGGAAAAATTTGGGATGTGCAAGCAGGATTTAGAAAGGGAATGGGATGTACAGATCAGGTCTTTTCCATGCGCATGATCGCGGAGAAGTTTTTGGCCAAAAACCAAAAGGTTTTTTGTGCGTTCATGGACTTGGAAAAGGCCTATGACAGAGTGAATAGGGATGTGCTATGGCAAACACTGAATTCATTTGGGTTGAGCGCTGGCTTGATACGGGCATTGGAGTCCCTTTATAGGGACTCTAGTGCTTGTGTTAGGATCAACGGGGTCTACTCGGACTGGTTTGGCATCCATAAAGGTGTCAGACAGGGCTGTGTAGCTTCCCCGTGGCTGTTCAACCTATTTATGGACAGTTGTTTGCAAAATTTGAAAGTTGAAGAATGCGGATTAAGAATGGGTGAGTTAACCGTCAAATGCCTTTTGTACGCCGATGATCAAGTTATACTTGCGTCGTCGGCGGCCGAGTTGCAAATGATGGTTACATTAATGAACAGATCATTAAAAGAAAGGGGTATGAAAGTGAACGCAAGTAAGACGAAGGTTATGGTTTTTGAAAGAGAAGAAAGTAAAACGATTTGTGAAATAAGAATAGAAGGGGAGTTGATCGAGCAAGTAGATGAGTTTGTATATTTGGGCTGCGTATTTAGCAGGGATGGGAGATATGATAAGGATATAGAACGACGAGTGAATGCGGGAAATAGAGTAAATGGGGCCCTGCACTCTATTGTGAAGAGTCAAAATGTGTCGAAAAAGGCACGTATGGCAATTCACAATGCTGTGTTGGTCCCTACTTTAACATATGGTAGTGAAAGTTGGGTGTGGCAGAAGAAGCACGAGAGTAGAATGAACGCAGTAGAAATGCGGTCGTTAAGGAGTATGTTAGGGCTGAATCTTAATGACAGGGTAAGAAATTGTGTAATAAGAGAAGAGTGTGGTTTGCAAGATGATGTTGTGACCAGGATTAAGAAAGGAATGCTTCGGTGGTTTGGTCATGTGGAAAGAATGAATGAGGAAAGAGTGACAAAGAAAATTTATGTTGCAGAAGTGAATGGCAGAGTCGGAAAGGGACGTCCTAGGCGAAAATTTATCGACCAAATTGGCGATTTATTGAAAACGGGCCAAATTAGGAGTACCCTTAACCGACGAGCATGTATGCGGAGGTGTATGGATGTGAAGGAGGCGAGAGAGATGTGTCAGGATCGTGCCAAATGGAAGTCTGTAGTCTCTGCCTACCCCTCTGGGTGACAGGCGTGAGTGTTTATGTATATGTATATTTTATATTGAGGATTCCATACTTGACACGCATATTCGAGATAGCTACGAACAAGAGAACAAAACAATATTTTCATTGATTTTAACTGACGGAATTTGCAACAAGACCTTAAAATAATATACTGCACATCAACTCTTGCTGACTAACTTAAATGGTTTTTACAATGGTTCGTTTTTGTTATAATATTTTGTTATAATATTTTCAAGTACCTACCCTCTTTTTTAAGTGTCTGATAAAGGGGGAAATTTTAGTTAAGTCAAAAGAAATACACACTTTATCATTAGTTGTTATTTGTTCCTGTGTGTCGGTGGTGGTGTACGTTAGGTTAACTGTGGATTCATGGATTCGCAATGGATTCAAGGGCCATAAAATTTGTTGATCTCGCAATAAATAATGACAGTGCAGCAATGAATGAAAATAAAGGTATGTTGTGAACTTCTTTTTCCTGCTCTTATACCAGTAATTTGTGTCGACGTAAAAGTTTTTTGATGTGAACGTTAGTTTATCATTTTATTACAATGGGTAAATATGCAAAGCTGTTTATTATTTTTAGTTGAGATAACCACACCTCTTTAGAATGTTATTTTTTATATTTAAAAACATCTCAATTTCCAATCTGTTATCAGTTTTTATTACTGTTGTTTTTTACAGGTGAAGAAGACCCATTCAGTAATCCACAACCAAGTACATCTGAAACCCAAAAACAAACTACTTTTGATGAAACAGTAAGTGACTTTTCTAGTGACGATTCTGTGGCCGATCCTAACTACTCTCCAGGCAGTCCTAGCTTACTTACACAACATGAAGAAATGGAAATTGCTGTTCCTAAAGCATCAGTGACTATATTTCATTGCTACAACAAAACCAAACAGTGTCCTGTAGAAAACAGAAGCAAGAAAACAAATTAAAAAGAAATCTTGGCCAATCTTTTCTGATAACTTCTAGGAAAACTATTGAAAAACGCAAGTGAAGAAATTACCTAACTGTCATATAAGTGCCGACAGAAAATAAGTGATGAGCAGCGCGCTTTGATACGCAAGGAGGTTTGGAATCTTATTTCTTACGATTTAAGGGCAGCATTAATTTCATCTTTGATCACCATCCAAGAGAAAAAAAACTGAACGTCTTCGAGTCGAACATCCTGATAAACAAAAATGTAGACTTACAAGTATTATTTCAATGTTAATAGTGAAAAAAAATATCGGTGTATCAAGGGTGTTTTCTAAAAACCCTATCAATAAGTGATAATTTTGTTAAACTAATTGGGTTGAAGAAACGTAGTAACTCAAGTGGAATTATAAAAATGGACGAACCTGGGAAGAATACACCACCAAACAAACATTGTGAATCAAAATTAAAGAGTTGATTAATCATATCAATTTGTTTCCGCTTTATGAAAGCCACTACACTAGACGCAAAAGCACCAGGAAATATTTACCATCGCATTTGACAATATCAAAAATGTATTCTCTTTATTCAACGTCATATGAAAATCCTGTAAGTAAAAGTTTTACCATAGAGAATCCCACAAGTTTCAAAAGCCAAAAGTGGAAATATGTCAAACTTGCGACCTGTTAAAAATGAAATTAATTATTGCTACGGACGAGACGAAAAAATCTGCTCTTGAAACAGAACGTGGCGCACGCGCTAACAGCTGATATGGCTTACAAAGAGAAGAATTTTGACGACAATACCGCAGTTACAGATAAAAAATCAAGTGTCTGTCTTTTGAACTGCAACAATGCTTGCTAACCACAGCTTTGCAATCATCTGTAGCCTTTTACAAAAGACAACTTTGGACCTTTAATCCTACGATACATGACAACGGAACTGGAATGTCAATGCACCACATGTGGCATGAGGAAATTTCGGGTCGAGGAGCTAACAAATAGCCTCTTGTTTGTTTTTATATTTAAAAGAACTTCCTGAAGAAGTTTTAGAAATAATTTTGTACTCTGATACTTGCGGAGGACAAAATAAGAACACCCACGTCGCTGCTCGCTGCAATGTTTGCCTACTTGTTGTCAGTAAAACCCTCATTAAGTTAAAAAATTATAAATTGATGGTACCTGGTCATACACATATGGAGGTGGACTTGGACGATGCAATAATATAAAAAAAAGACTTTATTTTTCCATAAAAAATTTTAAATAAAAAAAACTGAAATTGAAATTTACCACTCCATGACTGGATGCAATTAGTCAGGTCGAGCACCAAAAAATTTACAGTTAAAGAAATGCAGCAAGCAGATTTTCTTGACTTCCCTGAATAATTGAAAGGGCTGTTAATAGCCAGAAAAGAAGACGATGATGGAAATATTTTCAAATGGCATGATGTGAAGTGACTGTATTACGAAGCTGAGTATGGTGTCATAAAATACAAAAAATGTCTGTCAAGAGATGAATGTTTCAAAACCATTCATTTCAAACGGAACGCGCGACGAGAAAAAGAATTTAACTTGATACAGATTACTACAAAGCCGGTACCAATAAGCACTGAAAAAAACGTTACATTATATCACTTTTACCTTTAATACCGGAATGTTTCCATAATTTTACCAGAATTTTGTAACTGCTGCAGACAAAATTGACATTGATCCAGTTATATCAAATTCTGAAGAAAGTAACTTTTAGTTTATTATTAAAGCTTAACTAATAAGCGTTATTATAATTATTAAATATTATTGATAGTTCCGTTTTATATTCTTAAACATTAACAAGCTACGTAGTTATACGGTACAGTAATAAACACTTAAATTGCGATTTCTTTGCGCTCATTAAAATTTAAGTCAGATGTTTCAGATAATAATAAATAAGTTCAAAATATACTGAATTTAATGTGTAACTAGTTCGTGATTATGTAATAAAACAATAAAAGTAAAAACTATACTACATTTTTTTCACACCAATCGAATATAACCCTCTCCTGTAAAATTTTTGCATGCAAAAAGATTTGATTTAAATGCTTTTACTTTCCAAGTCTAGATATGTTCTTCTTTTTTTTATAGATTAAGGGTTTTAATCAAGCACATTGCCCCTGAGGACTAAGGTGGAATGCCTCGTATGCAGTAAAAAGGCTCTCCGGTTCTCTAACACTCATCTTACGAAACACAGCAGCATAAAGCTGCTATTTTGATACACTGGAAGAGCGTTGTCCTTCCCCAGTCAAGCCGACCCATTCGTGCTACATTCATAATATAACTGCAACATGGCTCTATCACGTATAAAATGCTTTATGTGTGAAGAGCATTGATCGTTATTGATTTAAATAAATTGCAGGTTGTTTTGTATGAAAAACTATATCATATTGGAGTTTTGTGGCCATCGGAAAACTATCGTAATGTTGTTGAATACAACTTACGAGTATATACGATACGATTTTGGAATGTCTAAACCTTTTAAAGAGTATTTTTGGTGGTTAATAACACTTCCTCTATATTCTTTCTCTATCTCAAAGAGTATAATGAGTATATACAGGAACTCTATCTTACGAATTGTCGAACAACAAAATATTCGTCGAACACGGTAGAGACTTGTTTTGACATTATATAAATAGTACGTAAATTTTAATGCATATAATTAAAAATAAAATTTTATTCTTATGAAATATAGTTAAATTCCTTTATTATTGATAGATTTACGTTAAATAATACTTCAAAATTACAGTAAACGCGTTTAATAAGTATTTACTTTGCGTTTACGCCAATACTGCGGTGATAGTAGTTCACCAAATCAAACACGAAGAAATGTTTATGTATTGATACGATACGATACTTTTCTTGTCATTAACACGATTGTACATTTATGAATTTCTAGTAGGAGTAGGAATAAAAACAGCCAGTACAAAATCATTGTACCCGCTAGGTGCCCCGTTGTTTTTGATGGTATTTAACTTGTTTTAAATACAAAGTTTAAGCAGTTTTTAAACCAAGTTTATACATTGTATATCTTAAACCCTTACTTTACTCTTACTATTAAAATATTGTCTTTTCGTACCTAGATTTATATACTTATTCCGCTCAAGTTTAGTCTGTAAGTGTTCGGATGTTTTAAAAGATATTGATAATAATCTTAAAATATCTAAATAAAAAAATCTCAATTTAACTTTAAATACAACAGCCTAGACTCAAGCTACTTTACCTATAAAAGGGGAATGCCCACTATTCATAGACACTTCGGCCATGGGTGCCCACATATAAAAGCATATGGAAATGATAATATGCAATTAAAATAATGAAATGGTTAAGGAATTGGTTTAAAAAATCGGGATTTTTATGATATAAAAGTTTTTATTTTCACAAATACAGTTTTTTAACGACTACTTTTACCGATTTTATTGCTTTTAATTTCTTTAACTTATAATTCCCGACGTTTCGGGTGCTTTATAGCACCCATTGTCACGGGGGACTGAGGCGAATGCCGTCCCAATGTCAGTATTAACGTGGAGTACCTTCAGCTTTTTATTATTATTTTTATGGTTCAATCAAATAAAGATTGAACTTACTCTGTCTTTAAGTTTTGCAGTGGTATGCTTGGGTTTAGTTTTAATTTGATTAATTATCCAAATCCCAAGCGGGTGGTAGTACCCAGCCTACTTCTCTATTGAAATAAGAATGTTTTTTAATTTCAATAGCCTTACATATCATCCTTGGTAGGAATTAAGGTTCTTTCGCGAGGATTTGTGTTCTATCAAATCTGATGTAAGTCTGTAAACTGTAGACTTCCCAGAACTTTGATGCTTAACGTCAGCTATATGTTCTTTTAGGCGTGTTATAATTGATCTTTTTGTTTGCCCTATATATGAGAGATATCATTCACAATTAAGCTTGTACACTCCTGCAGCTTGTAGAGGAATATGACACTTGACGGATTTTGAGAACTGACTAATACTCGTATTCTTCGGCGGCTTGTAGAATGTTCTAATAAAAGCTCGCTTCAAGATGTAGCCAATCTTGTCTTTAACACCCTAGACATACGGTAGTACAGCAGGCACACGCTCGACTGCGGTCGGCTTCACTCCGTCACTGTGACGTAGACGCGGGACCCGAAGCTTGATGTTGTGCAGAACCCGCTTGACGTACTGAAGCTCCGCGGCCAGGTGCTTGCTGTCACAAATCCCACATGCTCTCTGTAACAAAGATTTGCTCACGGCAAGTAACTGTGAAGGAATCATGTGAGATTCACCGTTTAAATATAAGTTTGTATGGGTCTTTTTCCTATACACAGTGTGACCTATGGTGTTGTTAGGATTTCGGATGACTAAAACATCTAGGAAAGCTAAGGAATTATTTGCCTCTTGGTGAAATCATGGTAGCGCGAGACATCACTGCATGAACATGCGTCACGTAGTTTTAGCAGCGGCAGGAGGGATTGGTACGTATAATCAGGTCCCTTCGTCATGTCTATCAAAATTTTTAACAAACTCCCAAACTCAATAAAAAAAATAGAAAAAAAAACACTAATTTTATAAATAAACTAAAGGAATTTTTAATTTGTAAACACTACTACACACTAAACGAATACCTAAATGATAAACTTTAAATGTCTACCTAGAATACCTACAGTTGCTATATTATATAGTGTATTCATCATTAATGTTTCATTAAAAAACCCTTCTCTCTCTTAATTGCTGTGCCCTGCAGGGCCGATAATGATCTCATAGTTTTAAGTTAAAACTTAAAATGTTCTTAACACCTTAACTGTAACATTATGGATGCAATAAATAGTACTCGTATGAATATGAATACCCTGATGAGAATAAATTAAAGTTGGACTGTACTGAATTGGTTTTATTCGTGCTACAGAGGTAACCCGACAATGTAACCACGCGGTCGATAACTTAAACTAAGTCGTACTGTGCGACCAACGAACCGTTACCGTATCCTGCTGTACCAATCCACTCCTGCCGC